ACCTTTCCCCTCCCCCACCCCGCCGTTCATTCATTAACTCATTAATTAATTAATGATGTTTTCGCCGTTAATAAAAACCACAACGAGGCTCCGGTGTCGTTTTGTTTTTGGAGGGGGGGGAGGGGGAGGGTGAAGCGGTGCGAGATTTTAATTAAAATTTTTAAATGAAATTTAAAAATTTAATTTAATTGGATTTTTAATTTAAAAGCGCGCTGGCCCTTTAAATACAAGCCACGCCCCTTTCGCGCGCGCGCGCAGATACGCGGGGTGCCACGCCCACGTCTGTGCGTATGCGCGCATCTGAGACAGGACACGCCCCTTACAGCGCAGTGAGAGTCGCAAACCACGCCTCTTGTAGCACCGCGCATGCGCTCAGCGTTTCCGGCAGGCCACGCCCCCTTCCCCTCAGGCCGCGCGCAGGCGGGAGGAGCGGAAAAAGAACCGGAAGCGGCCTCAGGAGCCCTCAGGGGCTCGGGGAGCGCCGGGAGCCGGGTTTGATAATGATTGACAGTTGTGGGAGCGGTGGTGGGGCGGGGTTTGTGGTGGAAGGGGCTAATGTGGGAGAGGGCGGGGCTTGGGAATGATTGACAGCAATTGGGAGTGGTGTGGGGCGTGGCTTGGGAGTGATTGACAGGTGTATATGGCCAGGCTATGCATGGGGGCGTGGCTTGGGAATGATTGACATCTGCTGCAGGGGGCATGGTGGAATGTGGGGCGTGGCTTTTAAGGGTGTGGCAGCTGTGGGCGTGGCCAAGAGCCATATAATAACCAATGAGAGGCCTGGAAGGGGGCGGAGATGATACTGGGTGGGCGTGGCTTTCTGTGAATGTGTTGGGTGTGGCCTCACTGACCTCACTCCGCCCACAGGAGCAGGGGGAGGAGCCAGCGGGGCCCCTGCAGAAGACGCCAATCATCCTGGCCAAGCCCCCGGCCGAGCGGGTGAGCCTGGGGGGCGTGGCCACCAACCAAGGGGGCGTGGCCACCAACCAAGGGGGCGTGGCCACCAACCAAGGGGGCGTGACCCCTCCCACTCGTTGTGGCCACGCCCCATGACGTCATTTCCATTCCTCCCCCCAGCAGCCGCCTCCGTCCGCCCCCAAGGCGGGGCCAGCGCAAGCCCCGCCCCCTCCTGCGCCGGCCCCGCCCATCGTGCTGATGAAAGCACGCGGGGAGGAGGGGCGGGGAGGGGGCGGGGCCTCGGTGGCAGCGGGGGAGGGGCCGGCGCAGGCCCCGCCCACCGAGAGGGAGGGGCCACGCCCCACCCAGCCTGTCTATCAACTGCACAGCCGCGGATTGGCTCCGCCCGCTGCGCTGGACCGTGAGTGGGCGGGGCTTAAATGGGCTCGGGGAGTGGGAGGAGCTGAAATGGGCGGGGCTTATTGAGGGGCGGGGCTAAGTTGCAATCATTAAGGGGACTGGGTGGAGATTGGTTGCTTGGGGTGGGCGTGGCCTTTATGGGTGTGGCCTTTATGGGTGTGGTCATTGTGGGCGGAGCTAGATCATGATTGGCTGATGATAAGGGGCGGGGTTTGGCTGCTGGGTGTGGCCATCATTGGGTGTGGTCACTGTGGGCGTGGTTATTGTGGGTGGGGCTAAGGAATGGATGGGGAAAGGGGCGTGGTTTAATCTGTGGGCGTGACCATAGCTGGGTGTGGTCACTGTGGGCATGGCCAATTTGTGGGTGGGGCTACAGCATTACAATAAAGGGGATTGGCTTGGGGAAATGGGCGTGGTTTAAGCTGGGTGTGTCCCCTGGATGGGCGTGGTCACTGCGGGCGTGGTCACCGCTAATGGGCGTGGCTCAAGGATTCAAATCACTCCTATTGAGCTTTAAAACGGGCGGAGTTTCCCGGGGGGGCGTGGCCGCCGCGGTATCCCCGTACCCGGGCGGGGTTATCTGCCGGGTGGGCGTGTCCCCGAAGTGGGCGTGTCCCCCCCGGCCCCGCCCCCAGCGGCGCAGGCGCAGGCGCGGCTGGCGGCGCCCGAGAAGATGAAGAGCAGCATCAAACTGGTGGACGAGCAGATGAACTGGTGCGACAGCGCCCTCGAGGTGGGCGGGGCTTCCCGGGGGCGGGGCTTCACCAGGGGGCGGGGATTCACCGGGGGCGGGGCTTGGGTGGGGCTTAGGTCCCTCCCAGTGAATCCCAGTTTGTGCTGGATGTGGTGAGGGCGGGGCTTAGTGAAGTGGGCGGGGCTTAGGCACCTCCCAGTGAATCCCAGTTTGTGCTGGATGCGATGGGGCGGGGCTTAGTGAAGTGGGCGGGGCTTAGGCACCTCCCAGTGACTCCCAGTTTGTGCTGAATGGGCTGGGGGCGGGGCTTAGTGAAGTGGGCGGGGCTTAGGAGCCTCTCAGTGTGTCCCATTTTGAGATGGGGTGTGGCTACGGCTGAGGAGGCGGGGCTTAGGAGCCTCCTAGTGACTCCCAGTTCCTATTGGATGGGTTGGGGGTGGGGCTTAGCAGAGTGGGCGGGGCCAGGCCCCTCCCAGTGACTCCCATTTTGGTTTGTGCTGGATGCGATGGGGCGGGGCTTAGTGAAGTGGGCGGGGCTTAGGAGCTGCCCAGCGACTCCCAGTTTGTGCTGGAAGGGCTGGGGGTGTGGCTTTAGCAGGGTGGGCGGGGCTTGGAATGCTCCCAGTGACTCCCATTCTGTCCCAGTTCTTACTGAACATGATGTGGGTGGGGCTTATTGGGTTGGGAGTGGCTCTGCTTGGGTGGGCGTGGCCGGGGGCAGGGCCAGGCCCCTCCCAGTGACTCCCAGTCGCTCCCAGTTCCTGCTGGAGCAGACGGACGTGTTGGGGGCGGGGCTGTGGCTGGGTGGGCGTGGCTGTGGCTGGGTGGGCGTGGCTTTGGCAGGGTGGGCGTGGCCGGGGGCGGGGCCAGGCCCCTCCCAGTGACTCCCAGTCACTCCCAGTTCCTGCTGGAGCAGACGGACGTGCTGGGGGCGGGGCTGTGGCTGGGTGGGCGTGGCTGTGGCTGGGTGGGCGTGGCTTTGGCAGGGTGGGCGTGGCCGGGGGCGGGGCCAGGCCCCTCCCAGTGACTCCCAGTTGCTCCCAGTTCCTGCTGGAGCAGACGGACGTGCTGGTGGTGGGAGCGCTGGGGCTGCAGGGCACCGGGAAATCCACGGTGATGTCACTGCTGGCCGGGAACCAGCCCGAGGAGGACCCACGGTACTGGGGGGGACTGGGAGGGACTGGGAGGGACTGGGAGGGACTGGGGGGGACTGGGAGGGACTGGGAGGGGTTTGGGTGTTACCGGTATGTACCGGTCCATACCAGTTTATACTGGTCTGTACTGGTCTGTACCAGTCCATACTGGTTTACACAGGTCCACACCAGTCTGTACCACTCCATTCTGGTTTATACTGGTCCTTACTGGTTTACACTGGTCCGTACCGGTCCATACTGGTCCATACCGGTCCATACTGGTTTATACTGGTCCATACTGGTCCATACTGGTCCGTACCAGTCCATACCGGTCCATACCGGTCCATACTGGTCCGTACCAGTCCATACTGGTTCATACTGGTCCATACTGGTCCATACTGGTCC